TTGTAAGTCAATGATTTTACTGTTTATTTTAATAAATAACAGCTACTAATTGAAGATAGAGAAGGTAAATTATTCCTGTAGCGAGAGCGATAGAGATGCATGAACTCCGGTCATAAATTATAAGTGCAGATCATTGACTTACAAAAGTCAATGGTGCAGATACGAATATTGCAGCCAATTGCAGCAAAGTCATCAGACTGTATTGTAGTCGGGAAACTTAGATAAACAGATTCATTACGTACGTCTATATGCTATCTTAAAATATACAATCGTTTACTTTTTATATATTTTACAGTATAAAAATACACCATTTAAAAAAACATATTTCTGAAATATAGAAGTATTTGCATTTGCAAGCCAAAAACATCAAGTAAAATTTTACATTTTTTTCAATACTGCCTGTTTGATAAGACAAAGTTTTTAGTGTCACGCACTTTAGCGAATATATCAACATTCTTTTTTTGTATCTTATCACTAATCCGTACGGGATCATTTTCAGGTCTATCTTTCGATGCTTTACATTGACTTATTTGTAAGTCAATGATGCTTTACATTGACTTACAATTATATTTAGCACTTATTTATTCTCTGCTTTAGCATCGAATTCATCGTCATCAATTGATACTCGTTTGTTAGAAGACTAATTAATGTTAATGTTTAATAACGAAAGTGCTATTTATTACATTTAATTTAAATGGTAGCGTCGTTGTGACAGTCTTTGTGGGAGGTTGTATATTTATGTAGAGCAGTGAACGTCCTTCGATAGGAACACACAGAACAAACAAATCTATGTAATAAATAGATTAAGGTAATACCTTAAAAATGGTATTGCCCCAAGGTAAATGATTCTATTTGACTTATAAATATTTTTTACATTTGTTTAATAAGAAATATTTGTTTTCTTTTTCCATTGTGTTAAACTTCTTACCTATTTTTCTCGGAATGTTCATTCTGTTCAACAAAATCATAATCATCTATGCCCCGGTAATGCGAATGACGCGCGATTAAAAAAAATATACAGGTTGCGACAACGACTACTATGCACGTAACACATATCTTGTGTTTGATTGACATTGTTATTCAATAATTCTAGCCATTGACTTACTTCTAGCGCAGGATAATGTAGAGCAATAATTTTAATAATTCTGCCCTCCGAACGAAAAACGGCACAACTGCCGTATAAAGTACTATGCAGTTGTGCCTTTTTTCGTTACGAGGGCAGAATTGTGCACGCCTAGTCAAGAGCAAATTAGGCTTGACATCTGTCACTCAACCTTAGAGCATATTTACATGCTATAAGGTACACCATGTGTACATCACATAGGGAATTCCTTGACAACCTTGACGATTCCATTACTCTCGTCCAATAATTATGTCCTTTAAAAAAGTATCTGTAACCAGTGCCAGTGTTGGGCGTTAATCAATTAAATTTCAATCAGAAATTCAATCAGATTAAAAAATGAATTCAATTGAAATCAATTGCAATTGATTTCAATTGAATTGATTTTAATTGCAATTAATTTTTTTAGTTGTTCTAAGAAACAATTGAAACTAACAATTAAAACCGAAAGTACCGAATAAAAATATCATTACGAATATGGGTTAGGGGTGTGGTAATCCACCCCCTAACACACCCCGTGTTAGGGATCGGTTGGGGGCCGGTGGGGGTAGGGCCCCCCAACCGGCTCCCGAACCGGCCCCCCAACCGACCCCCCGAAACGGCCCCCCAACCGAAAAAGATTGAAAATTTATTATTTGTAGATATACGCGATTAACGATTGATCAATTGTTAATTGCTGTTTCGCAATTGACAATTAATTGTCAATCTTTAATTGCCAGAAGAATTAAATTTTGCCCAACACTGTCTGTACAACTATACAAGTCAACCAGACCGTTATATGAACACCCTCCAAACTGAGTAACGGTTCTGAATGGCGAGGTCGTTTACTTCCTTCCTGGAGCATTTTCCAGTAGTTCTAGGCCGACAGTCATGTCCACCTGAGCGCCTTCGAGCCTGTACTTAGCTTATCAATACGGGTTTAGTGCTGTCACTCGTCAACTTTTTGCCCTTAGGCGCAGTCAAGACTCAGCAGGCAACTGCTAAACATTCCAAATAAGGCGACAGTGAGTTGAAGAAGAAACTCTTCCCGGGTTTTGCATATCTTTATTGCAACGGATAACATTTTAAGTTCCACCATAATTACATAAATTTAACAATTACTTAGTACAATATTTATATGTTACTGCAAATAACAAGTTAATATAATCTTCCAGAGAATGCATGACGGAAGAAAAAGAACATTAACGACTAATAAATACGCTGCATAATCTGTGTGTGTATGTATATACATATGTGTATACATATGATGCATATATTTTAACATTCTTGTATTAATTATATTGCTTAAATTAATTTACAACTTTTTCCGTAAGAGTATTTCGCATGTTTCAATCATGAGTTCAGCCAGTTTGATGTTGCTCTGAACATCTATAAGCGGATCCGAGGATTTTTTACGAATCTGATAAAGTATTTGACGTAGTACAGTCACTGTGGTATCTAGAGACGGCTGAGCAGGAATAGAATTGTCCAGAGCCTGAGAACAAAATTAAACATTTTCACTTAACAAACTTCAGGCTGACAAGTTTCCTTTGAATTGGTAAAAAAGGTCACCGTTGTGTTAATATACTAAGAAGTAAAGTGACATACTCTAGCCAAGTTCGATGTAGAATAAATATCAACAAACAAAAACGTACAATACATGATTTTTAGTGTTCAACTCATACCGTAATACCACAATTTCAATATTTTTCATAGATATAGAAAAAAGGGGAGATATGTAATGACGCTATGTAAGATCGGGTACCGATGTCGACACTTTTTAGTTTGTGTGCAATACAAACTTTACGCTCTATTATCTACTACCATAACATAAAGATTTTGATTGGGTAGGGCTTCAAACGTGCAAGCTACGTAACACAATTTTAAAATTTAACAAAATTAAACTTACAGTCGCTTGAGTAAGAGTTATATGTTGAGTGTGTGCGTTAAAAAAAAATTAGTAATAAGTACTATATTACAATATTTCAGTATTTTTTTCGTCTTGGTTCAGCCAGTCACCATCAGGTGTCGTTTTAGTAAAAATGCTACTAGTATATAATAGCCTAACTATTACACTAAGAACTCACGGAGCGGTTTTCACCCACGCCTGCCGCGGGATCGCGGCATCTGTAAAATGTGATAGTTAAGTATGTAAAATTAGTAGCACATTTCACGGCGCGTTTTACGCCTGTAGTGGTGACGGTTGCTCGCGGTTGCCGTGGCGGAGTACTAGTAGAACCGCTCAGGACGCGATCACTTGCGCGCTTGGCGGTTGTCGTCGCCCGCGCACTTTGGCGGTCGGTTCAGACGCAATGTGGTGCAGGCGCACGAGGGATGAGTTCTCTATTAACCGCCCGACTTGCGATTAACTCCCACTAACTTCGCGTCCCGTTCCGCAATCGCAACGGTTTCGTGCCCGCAACCGCGGCGGCTAGGTGCCCGCTCAAACTTGTAGGGTCGTGAATATTGAAATAAAACCCCTGTCCCACAGCACCGGCGGGCGCAGATGGAAACCGCTCCGTGGATTGTTAACCTTAAACTGACGCTACTCAACGAGGGATGTGGTCCTACCTAATCTATAGTTAGAAACCTTGTGACTGTTTTTAATTTTAAAAAATATTCCATTTTTCAAACAGACCCAAATTTTTACAACGTGTATCGGTACATTTTTGGCATTTTCGCGTGTTACAAGAGATCTTGTATGTACAATTATCGCCATGTACCTGGGGGGTGTTTGTAGGCGTGTCACCTCGATATGATCACTTTGATCATAACGAGGCGACAGGAACCACGCCCCCATACCAAATCCCCTTTTTTTCTATATCTATGATATTTTTCCTCTATTTTCGTTTAGGCTATTGATAAGACTAATCTTGAAGTCATTATTTATATATTATTATAAATTATTTATGAAACTGTGTCATCCCTAATGTTTTTTTTTATTTGAAGAGAGAGAGATTGCAAACACATAATAATAATAATAATAATTTATATATAAGTTATTATTTAAAAAAACATGAATAAGAGTAGTAATTCAAGTTCAGAATTGGAAATTGACATTGGATGAGTATGTAGCAATTGATCTTATATACGTAAAAAAGGCAGATAATTATGTTAGCAAACAACCGCGTCGTGAAGATTCAAATATCGGTCAACTGTAGGATCTTGCAGTCTGCATCCAGCAAAGTAACGAAATTAACATTTGTAAAATTACGTCATTTTAATGAAAAAAAGTCTTTATTTTTGGTTTTAAACGACTTTGCCGTAGCGCCTTCTGTGACAAATTTATGACATTTTCTTCACTTAGCTAGGTACATCTACAGCTGCCAGCCACTGACTAGAGATGTCACTTTAATAATTGTAATTAAGTTTTATGGAATGTAAGGATGTTTCAACACCATGATATTCAATTATTTTTTGTAAAATTACTCCACTAGTTTGTTATAATTATTTTTAAAAAATAGAACACTTAGGAAAACATACTTTGATCCGTTTGGATTCAAACCAACGTCTCCTGGCAAATCGCTATACGCCAGACGCTATACCAACTAAGCCACGGATCGAACCAACGGACCATACGAATTTTTCCATATGTGTGTTGCAGCCCTTTGTTTTTGGTTTTTAATGACGCCTTTTTGCCATAGCGGCATCTATGAGAAATCTATGGAATTTTTTCTTCATCAATATTTTTTACTTTTGTTTATGAACAAAATATATTTGTTTTCCCTTCTTTTATTGTTTTACTTCTTGCCTACTTTTCGGAATGTTTATTCTGTTCATCAAAATAATAATCATAATCTATATCTATACCCCAGCAATGCAAATGACACGCGATTAAAAAAAATTGGTTGGGCGACACATTTCAAACGTTAATTACTATGAACATATTATCTTGTGTATAAAATCATTGGTATGTAAATTATCATAAAATAAAATTTTACAGTTATGTTAATTTTCATCTACCATTACCTACTATCTAGCAGTGTCAAAAACTGAAATATTTTATTCATAAATTTCGTGCCAACAGGTACTTTGCAAACTTCATAATAATTTACCTGGTAAGTATTACTTCTACATAACCCAATTACTTACGTACCTAATGCGTACCTATTTAAATTCTAATTACGCTAGCAGGCTGCGGGCAAAGCTAGCCTAAATAATGAGCATTGACAAAAAATGTTCTGTACCTTATATATACCGTAATTGGTTCTTAGCGACGTTTTATTATTAATATTCTATGTCGATACAAAGATCGAACACTTAGAAAAATTTCCTTCGATCCGGCCGGATTCGAACAGACGTCTTCTAGCAGACGCTATGCCAACGAAGACACGGAACGAACCAGCGGACCTCACGAATTTTTATATGTGCTTGTTGTCGGATCTTTGTATTTGGTTTTCAACGACATGACCTTTGTATTAATAATTCTAACAAACTGGTGGAGTAATTTCACACAAAATAATTGAATATCAATTCAATACAAATTTAATTCTATGTCTAAGTAAAGGTACATAATCGTGACTGTTAAGTTATCTTTGAACATATTGAACTCGCCAAGCAATGTACTTCTACTTATCATTTATTATTGTGCTCGTGTAAACAGGCCATATTAAGAAATTAGTTCATTAAAATGCCGTAACTTAGCGTTGCGTAACGCAAGTGTTTTTTATTAGATTTGTGAACTTTTATCAAAATGAAAGTGTTACCGTATTCTGCAGCCGTTTATAAAGATGCGGCGGCACAGTAACGATCCATTCTGGCTGGTTGCTAGAATTCGTCTGACTATGCTTCAGCCGTTGTGTTGTAATAGCCACAAGAGGCGGCAGTACCTCTTCTGGGTTACTTACACTACTTAACAGATTCTCTGCTAACGAGTCGAAACCTAGATGGTAAAAACCTACTACCTGTGAATGCAAAGGATGATATTATTAAAACGTTTTTATTGACAGTAACTTACATCATTATATTTTGAAAGAGAAATCGTTATAGTAATATAATACAGAACATAGGATACTATACTCAAAAGTACGTACATTTTGGTTGCTTTTTAAAAATATGTCAGAAACAGCAAAAGAAAAGGTTTATATTTAACGTAGACACTGTTTTCTCTCTCATTAAACTAATAAAATCTCTAGAAAATGTAATTACCTGTTGCCGTTTGATAAATTCATTATCAACGTTCCACAATTCCGCCAAACTGGAAATTTTGTCAATCCAGTATACACATTCGTCATCAATATAAGTCTTGTATGGACCGCCCGTATCTTTGATGGTTATTGTTTCGATCGCTGCTCGTATTAGCCTTGTTAGGAACTTTAGCCTGGGATTTCTCACTTTTTCAGAAGCTTTCAAATTTATCTCTCTTTGCGTCACATTGCCTGTCAATGCATCGAATATGTATTGATACTCAATATCGAACAAATTTTCAAGTGGTTTCGAGTATTTTACGTTGAAATGGCATTGAAAGTATATCGTACAAGATATTTGATAGTTCAGAATCAAAATGTCGTTATTAACATTTTTGGTATCTTGTGCAACTTCGACAAGAGAAGGCATGCTTTCATCCCATATTTTTTCAAACTGAATAGTCTGTTTTTCTTGTTCATTAGACGTTTTGGCGCAAAGCAAGAAATTGTCTAGATATGTCGTAGTTATTTCAAGGAAGCTTATCAATTTTGCACTATTGAAGCCTACATCTTGTACGCATAAAGGATCTTTTGGCAGTCTTCCTACTTTATTCACCAAACGACAACCCGCTTCGAACAAGTGTTTGATGTAAGTTGACCATATTATTGAAAATAGGCCTAACCGTAAATGCAAATTTGAAATATGTTGTAGACATGTCACGACAGCAGACAAGTCTTCTAGTTTTTGTGTATTCTTCTGCCAATCCATGGCGTATTCCCAACACATGTTAGCAAGAATATAATTGGCAGATGTACTTAGAGGAAATTGGCGACGTAGAAGAGAGAGCCATTTGAAAATTTTAGTATTATCGTCTACTAAGTTTTTATTGTTCTGCATAAATATGTAATTTGGGTCATCATCTTCAGGATCAATGGAATCGGGATCCTGGCTACTGAATATTTCCAACAATTCATTAGCAACAATTGCGCCTGGCGCCACACCCATAGCGCACAACCATTTCGCAATCAATTCCGTCACAGATCCTTTCCCTCTTGTGTAGATATATTTCAAATTAATATTTATATCGCTAACTTGTAATTTTGGCAGTGATTCTCCTTTGAAAGTGTCTTTAAACATTAGAATGATGCTTAGTAGTGAAATATCCTCTAGTTTTCCAATGAGAATTCTCCATTTAGCATTTTCCTTTGTCACCGAAACCCAGGCTCCTTCATCGCCTTCCATGGATTTGCTTTCGAAAATTTTACCAACAGCTTTGCAGGCCATGGCTACGGTCATGCTCTTTAATGGACAAGGCATGTCTACTAACATATCTCGAATTGATTGCCACCACTGTGATGTCTCATTATAAGTTATATTCGTCGCTTCTTCCGTTACACTACATAAGTAATGTAAAACTGCTATCAGTTTATCTATTAACTCAATGCTTATTTCCTCTAAAGGCATGTTCATTATATGCAGAATCACGAGTTTAACTATTTCCTTTGGCTCAATGTTGCTCTCTCGAACAAAACTAGTCAGCATTTGAACATCATTTATTTTAAAAATTGATTTAAAAGTGTCCGATGCTAGACTGTTTAGTTTATCTACTGTTGTATCTGGTTTTAAAGAAATATGTTTGCCTTTTTCTTCTAATACGAAACAGGAAATGAATTCTTTGTACGTACTGGTTTTATTATCAGCGAATGTAACTTTGGAGTGTTGATGTTCTTTGTAGTCATTCTCTTGGGCTAAATGCAGGAGTCTTTCAAGTATACAGTTATCGTCTTCCAAGAGACAAAATTCTGTATTCTCTTCGTTGTCACTTTTTTCTTGTGTTACATTAAAATCAATGTCAAAACCAAAGTAACTGTATACTTTATTGATCAAGCTGTTCATATCTTCTGTATCTTCATTGTTAATATGCCTGTAAAATAACGTGACCAGACTTAAATTTGCAAAGTACTGTTTATTTTTTTCTTCCTCTTCAGTCACTTTGTCGTTGTTGAGTTTATCCCAAAACACTTCTAAACAAGCCATAACGATCTTTGGCGAAATTTCGTATTTCCTTATTAACAATTCAAGACAGTGTTTTTGAAGTTCCAAAGTTTGCAATGCTGAAACTTTGTTCACTATCTCAGTAGCATAATCTTCACTATCGTTGGGTGTCTTCTTGAAATAATCACGTAAGTCCCTCAGGGCGTGTAAATCTTTAGACCGATCTGAATTTTCACCTTCAAGTGCGTAAAAGAATGGAATGTTAAACTTCTTCAATTTACCGTCTGGATCCATGAGCACACATTGAAATTCTGGTAAGTTAAGTTTCTTGTGAGTGTAGTTTTTCTCTGCACCCACCAAACCGCAAGTATTGTAAATCAGTTTCCCATTTTTAGTCGCAGTAAACACGGCAACTCGATTACCCCTCTGCATTAGCCTTATGTCAATTAATCCTTTCTTAGGATTGTAGATGATTAAAAATATTGCTCTTTGGATTTCTTTGACTACTGACAGTTGAGGTTTTTTGTTATCAATGTCGAACATCTGTAAAGTTAGAATTTTTTATTTTGTTTGCATACATACACATCATCACGCCCGTCTCCCACTGAAGTAAGCAGAGACCACGAACGGGCAGTGATGAACATGATTTTTGCCAGTTGTAATAACTGGAAGGTTTAGTACAAGTTCTAAAGCATTTTGTAAGACGTATCCTGGAATTTGTAAAAAATATTAAAATACTATACCACCTAAGGTGCGGTCTCTCAATTCTCATGTGTCAATTCTCAAAAATCATGTGGTCCCTCAATCCACACACACACACATGGACATTTTACTTTTTATTCTGGAAATTGCTCAAATCGGAAATCTAACCTAAGCCGAAAAATCCGGACAAAAGGTAAAAATACCGAGAATGTCCGAACAAATTCAGACGGAAGGCAACCGTATATTTAAAGGAAATGAATAGCATTCATTCTTTTGACATTCATAATTTGTTTGGGATATTACCTGAACAAAAGCACATTGCGCATCTCTATACCCTTTAAACAGTCTAATAAGATGTCCGCGTTGAACATCCAACACTGCGACTCGCCCAACATTGTCGGCCACCGCTGCAAGCCTCCTGTCGGGTGATACGGCGACAACAGTACCGTGACGTTGCGAGTCGTATAGGCCAGCTCGCATGATTAATTGCTCTGATCGGACTTGAGGCTCGGGTGCCGATTGACTTTCTGTTGTTCCGCCGCCAAGCCACCCTCTGCAATCCATCTGCATCATCAATTCATTTATACGTCGTGGTCCGACGCGTTAGCCTATTGATTGGGGACTTATTAAGTGACAGGATGAACAACCCATGCACCTGATTGTAAGCGACACGCCTATTCATAACATTTGCAGTGGCACTCAGAGCTTTAAATTATTCAAATTTAAAAATACAAGTTGACAATCTCAACAATATGAGGGTGGCGAGCGCAGTGGCAGTGCCCCCCAGATCTTTGCTTTTCTTTATAATATCAAGTGACGGGATGAACAAGTCGTGCGCCTGATGGTACTACATATACGACTGTCCATAACACTTACAGTGCCACTCAGAGCTTTAAATCGCAAAGATCTGAGGGGCACTGCCCATGCAGCCATCGCCCTGTGATGTAAGTTGACAAGTCTCATGTGCCTTAATTACATCAGATCTCTTACCCTTCTATGACCGGAACACAGTAATGCTGACATTACTGCTTGGCGGCAGAAATAGGTAAGGTGGCATTACTTCCCTGGAAGAACTCTTTCACAAGGAGCTCTACTGCTATTAAAAGTTTAAAAGCTAGTTCTAAAGCTATGAATGACACTGCACCTGTTATGGACAGGAGTGTCGCTTAGCACAGGCCTGCGACTTATTCTTTCCGTCACTTATATCATAAAAAAATGCCTGTAACTTAACCAGAATGCTGTAATTGTTACATTACTGCTAGGCGGCAGAAATAGGTAAGGTGGCAGTAGTTCCCTGGACGAAGTCTTTCACGAGGAGCTTAACTGCTACTAAACAGTCCGCAGTAGCTAGTGAAAAAGAGAAGTGACTCACGGTAGTGCAGATTTAATCCTGTTAGCCACAGTTCGCGCCACATCTTGCAGGGGTGGCGTCGTGCCACCTTCAAGTGCGTAATGGAATCCTACATACGGCGTCACTCCCGCCCCCAGTATTAGTGAGTTCACGGGCGGAATAGACCTATACCTGTTTGAAGTGAAAATTGTAATTTATTATCAGACATATCAAGTTCGTTTCACCTAATGTGTATTCTATATGGACTATAATAATAATAAGATAAACCACAAGCAGCAAAGAAAGTAGCGCTAGACACGTTCCCTAACCTGTGCTAATATACTGTTATTTATGTAAATACAAATAAGTATGTATATAATAAAATTTTATGTCAGTAATCATTACAGTATTTGTTATTTTTGATGACATAAAGTGACGGGACGAACTAGTCGTGCGCCTGGTGGTGGTAAGAGACATGGCCTATCCATAACAGATGCAGTGCCACTCAGATCTTCAAATCGCAAAGTCTGCCCCAGTGGCCGAATGGTTACCATGCCGAACTGCCACGCAGACGTCATAGGTTCGATTCCCGGGCCGGAAGAAATATTTGTATGACCTACATTTATTTCTCTCTAGTGTTTGGGAGTAATTTGAGGTTGTCTATGTGTATGTCTATCCATGACACCCGCGATACAGGGTTTCCCTAGTGCGGGGCTATGTTGAGTGTGCGCGTTACTAGTGTGTACAAAGATCTGAGGGGCACTGCCTCTGCGCCGGTCATCCTGAGACGTAACTTGGCAAGTCCCATGTGTCTGTAGTTTCACCAGCACCCTTCAAAAGCAGAATGCTGTAATGGTCACATTACTTCTTGGGGGCAGAAATAGGTATGTTGGCAGCACTTTCCTGGATGAGCTCTTTCACAAGGAGTTCTAATTCGATTATTTGATTAAATGAAGTTGAGGGTACCTATTAAAATAGCTATGTGGACAAAAAGATGAATGGATTTTACAATAAGGTAAACAAGGGCACATGAAGAACATCATCAAGTGCAGAATGGACCTTACCATACACCATATCCACCATAGGTAGATGCAGCCAATAAATGATCATAGGAGTTTTTAAGCTCAAGGCCCACAACAGCTGCATCATTGATGATCCCCTGGTCTGAGAATATCCACTTCCTTATGCCAATATTGCGGCTGTCCACTGAGTAGTCACCTTGTACACCTGCTTGTACTGTTTCAAAAAATAGATTTTATTAATATTCACTTAACTTATTAATTGGTTCAATAAAATTGTTATTTATTTATTTAGATACAATAATATAATTCTCAAACCATGTACAATACTACTTAATACTTAACTCTTTTAATACTTTAAAGCTCTTTAGCTTGGAACAGATAACAATTATATATAAAATTGAAATGAAATAGATTTAGTGATCTATTTAAAAGCAAAAATGAACTTTTATTACATTAAAAAAAGAGATGTTCAAGGAAACCATTAATTTAAAATCTACAAAAAATAAGTAAAATAAACGCATCTCTAACCTATTAACTTGACATGTGATATAAGAACTCTAAGATTTTTAATTTTCTGTACCTTTAAATATAAAAACTAAATATTGTACCAACATACCTTTAGCTAGCTGTGCTTTAGCATTCCTCAGAGTTTGGAACAAGCCAGAACCTGACACTATACATTCACAGTTTTGAAATAATATGTGTATATCATCTTGCAGTGTCCCATAAGTACCCGTGTGACACGAAATCTTCAGCACTGGTTTGTCATCAAGTTTCTCTAACAATAACAAGTGGCCAGTATTTGTGTAGAAACCAATACTCCCATTTTTGAAACCCACTAGTATGCAAAACCAGTCAGGGCCATTCTGAAATCATTTTGACTTTGATATTATTTGTACACATACCTTTGTTATGTTACATATTGTTTTGATAGACAGGCAGTTTTCTAATTTATTCAAGTATTTTTTGCTTAAGCATTTGGAGATGTATGGCTTAATATAACCGGTCCCAGTTGAGACCAGAAACAAAAAAGTTTTTCAAATGATGTGAACTGGTTGGTCTGACATGCTCCAGCCAGCTAACCACAGAGGAAAAATACTTCCTATATTTCATCACTCCAGCTTAGTGTTGTATAAATCACTGTTTACTAATTTACATTACTAATTATCAACAAAAAGTTTAACAGATGTAACCGCTTTACAGTCATTATTTAAACAACTAGTGTAGTAACAGGAAGAAAAGAAAATGTCATGTAGCAGGAATTGCTTACGTGATTAACCTGTTACAATCCATCCATGTGTGAGCTAGTATTTCTTGTATTTATAGAAGGTAATTTATTGATGAGGTAACTTTAAAATTTGTACCAACAGCTTTGTCAAACAATTTATATATGTAATAATTCTTGTGCGACTGAGGCTATATATCACCAATTATGTTTTTAAAGTAAAAAAAGTTGGGTGCTAGTTGTGGAGCTGAATTTGATGAAATCTACTTAAGAGGAAAATTAATATCAATTCCTACTACAGTATGATATCAATACATGTCCAACAAGAATTCATTTGGGAAGGATAATTTTATATTGTTATGAATAGAAAACAATTGCATAGGAACTAAAAGGTAGTTGTAACAAAATTTACTTGAGATGACTGTTGCGAAGGGCATATAGACAGGGCAAGTAATGCAGTAATATCTGACGGAAGCGTTCCGCTCCACGATATCAAATAAGTATTGCTATCAGTCGAACTAATCCACTGTGTTGTAAGTAGACAAAGGCGGTTTTTAAAGCCCACTGCGAGCAAATTCCCGCATGATGACAGCGATACGGAGCACTGGGATAGCCAATTTGCGTCTGTAACAGACCATTAAACTATTGATAGCATTGGGAAATAAGAAAAAACAAAGGATAATAATTGTGATTCTTTGTACTCACCGTCTCGTTCAAATACGAAAAGAGCTCGAGCTAAAGATGATATGTCTCCGCAGTCAGCAATTTGCTCCACCTGACAAGACATTTTTCAAAACTCACATGCATTAAATTAAAAGCAAAAATCGTGTCTCATCTGAAATTGAAATTATAATCACAAAAAACGAGCACAAAGTATATATATGCTTTTTTTTACAAAAACAATGTCAAAAATCCACAGACAGTCATAAAAAAAATTATTTGACAGCTGGGCTTTTTTGAAGATTGGGAAATAAAAATATAGATCATGGTAAGGTTCGGAATTTGGGCGAAAAATGGTGTACATAGTAGATTGGGTAGGTGAGTATTTTTTCATCCTCTAAGGTGAGTACCGATACTGTACCTTGATAGCTATCAAACTATGGTATGCATATTAAAGCTTGATATTATTCTTTTCGATAAATAAGGCCAGTACATTATAATAAGATTATTATATGTACGTACATCTTTGTTACATAAATGCAATAAACTTAACAGGGAAATGGGGAATGGGACATTGATTGCCAGGAGTTCGGATATAAAAGTATCGTGATCAATTGAAAGCAATGAGAAGATATAATTTTGATCCCCATAGGCCCCGTATGAGCATGCAGAAATAATAGATTAAATAATATTGTGGCGGCTTTAGACGCCGCCTATTATCACCGGATGGGTGTGGCAGTCTCTTTGGACGAGAGTCGCCAAGGAGAGTGTCACACTTGCCGTAAATGGTTGACGTAATTTGTCATGTCAGAATTTGTTACGTAATTTGTCAAGATCTTGTAAAAACCACGAAACATTATAATTAAATCGCCATTCACGAAGTTCACGAGGCCGTTTTATTGTTAGTTAGGGGAGCGATAAATTCCCCAAAATATTAATAAATCTTTTTGAATGGTTTTAGGAAACTCTAAACTTCTTCTTCGCCAGAGCCAGACCACTCCTAAACTGTTTTCGACCAGAAATTCTAATTGACATTAGTATTAGTAGTTGACAATGTTGTCATGTCAATTGTCAATGTCATGTCACGGACAAGGAAGCTATAAAATTGTCTTCGTAACAAAAATAAACATTTTATTGGAAATAATTAGACTTGTACACAAATTTTATACATATTTTCGTTATATTAACACTTTATTGACTTTATTATAGAAGATAATGTGTCAGAGATGTGTTTTAAATCACCGGTATCGTAAATACGCGTTGGCTATCATTATTGCGTAATTTGAGTGTTATCAAAGGTCTGCGTCTTTTGTATTGTTAATTTTGGCTTTATTGTGTATATCGTAACAGGAGTAAACATCGCTAGATTTAATTTTTTTGTTTTCAGATTTAAAAATGGGGTGTCTGTATAGCAGAACAGACAACATAGAGATACATCCTAACGTATTTCGTGTAGTAAATATAGATGAGTCAGGCAGAGATCTATGGTCCGGGAAATTGGAGATCACAGAGTCTGACATAATCCTGTACAGGGAAGGAAGAGACTCTACTGTATGGCCTCTGCATTCTCTTAGGAGATATGGTTTTGAAAAGAAAATATTTAGTTTTGAATCAGGTAATGATCATTATTTACATTTTGAAATTTCATTTGGAGTCCCATAAATTGCGTTCCTTGGCTTTAGAAAATAAATATTTGGTCAGGTGGTAGAAAAGGGGGCACTATGGAAACTGGAGTTTCAAGAAAATTAAACTGAAAAAGTTTCATTTACCAAGGCTATAGGACAGATAAATTCGATCGATTTTTAGTCCAGTATCCATAATGCCCCTTTTTGTACAGTCCAATCCTGTGAAGACCGGAGTCTTCTATCCCAAAAAATTTTCAATATGCAGAAAATAATGTATTTACCTTGTAAGTTGCCGTGACAAGGAACACTAGAAACTCAAATCAAAACTTGAAACAATCACAGACAACCTACAATGACAGAAGATGTGTCAGTAAAAAGGTTTTCCAACAAATCCAATAAATAAATAATTTGCAGCAATATGATAAGAATCAATGATTATTTATTTAGATAATAATAAATATTTGGTTGGACTGTGCCTTGAGAAACTCTTTATATTGATTTAAATAATTATCCAACCCACACCATCGCTTAATTGTTAAGGAAACTTAAAAGTATAAAATAAAAATAAATAAATATGTTTTGATTTTTTTTTGTCTAATGCTGCCATTGTATGCTTAATAACAACAAATTTAACTTATGACTCTTTTAATTCAGGCCGAAGATGTGAAACTGGTGAAGGGATATATGCATTTCGTTGTCAAAGAGCTGCCATGCTATTCCGGACTCTACAACAGCAGATACAATTACGCAATGTAGTTCATGATTCACTTAATTATCCGTTGCCCCAACCCACACCATCTCCTACAATGGGTCATGCTGTAGTGCAGCGTTTGTCTGTTGATAATGGGCAGTCTATGACTAATGAAAACAATCTTGCTGCTGCTATGCAAAATGGAGTCCCCCCACCCACAACACAATCTCCAAGGTCTCCATCCAGTACTGAGATACTTGAAGTTATGGCACTAAACCCAAATAGACAAGCTAATGGAAACCACGTCACAAATGTATACCACCTCAGAAATTTCAAAAGAGAACATAACAACAACCAATCAGAAGGTGGTGCTGAAACACAGCACGTATACTGTAATGATCTTAATAGAGATTTAGCCATATTGAGGCAAAACTTGCGTCAAGAAGCTGCATTGAACACTATGAGAGATATTGAATATGAAACACGATTTCTTGAAAGTAGGTACATAAATGAAAGCATTCCTAAGAACAAAGAAGCTACTTTATCACCCACACTGAGTAATAACAGTGAGCATTACGCGCAACTCAGTATAGAACAGCAACAACAACAACAAGAATTAAGGTTGTATATGAACATTCCACAATCAGGAGAAATTGCTTCTACTATGAAAGCAGATGTTTTGAATGACGGTCCTTCAACCCCTTTGACGCCAAAACAAGTCGAGTATTGCAATTTGAGTCTGGCAATGAGAGCAGAACTTAATACTTATGCCAACTTATCATTGGGAGACAAGGCCGAGACTATAAAGAATACTAAACAAAAATGTTTGGAATCTAATGCATCCATATGCTTATCGCCTACAGAGGAATTGGTCAACTATGCAGTACTAGACATAGACACAAATAAGGAATTGGTTTCAGCACCTAGAGATCTAGTGTCACCCGAGAGCCAGTCGTGTAATAGTTCAAGGAATGAGAGTACTGCATCATATTCTTCCCAATCACGCGGCCGCCTCGTATCACAAAGTAGCTTAGAAAAACCACCAGTAACAAGTAGTTCTACTGCGACACCCTTAGCCAGTATAGGTTATACCACCATTGATTTCGATAAAACTGTCGCCCTGACGTCAGTGGCGGCCGCAACAGATGTCCCACGGAAACAGAGGCATAACTCGTCTAATGTAACCTGTTCAAGCCCTAGTGCTACAGACAAGAGTAAGTCAAATAACTAAGGTACAAAGTGCAAAACCAAAATGATAATTAAACCAAATGAAGAAAAGCATATTTCTTGACTCCTAAATACTCGCTTTTCAGTCTTTTCTTAGTACATTCTAGATATTTAGTACATATTGATTGGTGTTTAGAAATATGTGTGATAGTTCTAGATGCTGTTAACCAATGATGAGCATTTACATTGTCTTATTAAGGGGAGGAGTCTAATACAGACCATGAGGGTGAATGCGCAGTTGGTTAGCCTGCACATGTCGTGTCTTATGTGATAACATATCAGCTTCGCGCGCTGTATTGCATTTTGACAGCAGCGAATCTGATGACCACATCCCCATTGCTGCTGAAATTAAGCCTCAACTGGAAGGTTAATAGTGCAATACTTTTGGTCTGAGCTATAACGCTTTCACCTTCATGTAGATTATTCCAATCGATATATTTATTTTCTTGAGTTGTTATTATGACAGGTTGTAGTATATATCACGAAGTAAGTATAAATATGTTTTTAGAACTGGGATAGTGATTATTTGTAAAAATGTACAAAATATAAATGGTGCCAAAGATAGATAGAATAAATACAATTTTAATTTATTGATGTCATACCTGTTATGATTTAAGTTATCCTTTACAACATGTATGTACTGTATTCAAAAAGATTCAGTGTGCATTAGAAATAAGTCTGTAAATATTATTATAAGCGTGTATGCATATGTACGAATAAGTTCACATAAGTTTATTGAGTTTGTATTTACCTCCTAGGTTATGGAAACACCAAAGTAGTTTAAAAAAATAAAATTAAGATTCTGTTGTACACTCGTGATAGGCGATGCATTAATTAATTTTGGAGGCCGATTTTTTATTCTCAATTCATCTTTACGATTATTCATAACGATTCAAAAATAAATCTTCTAACTCAGTTTATTATCTCCTTATATTTGTATAACGATCGCATCAACGAATTAACCAAACGAGAAAGCTTTAATTTTGTATATTTTAATGGAAATAGCGATTGGGTGTAACACTTTTAAAGTTTCATGACCATCATACGCCAACCCATTATACGCCCCATTGGACGGGTCTCCTGTAAGCAGAGGATACCCTTAATTAATGTGATAGAACAAACAATTAATATCATCAAAGGAGAAATGTTACTGTTATCAATGATAGTCCATATGTATAAAGTTAGTTATTGTATCACTGTGATTGTGATTTAAAAACATGTCATGGTTCCGTAATGACGTGACGTGAAATTAAAGCCCTGTGAATAGCCAGTTTAAATTATCTACTGCATTATGTCAATGACTGCAGTATTAATTTTCTGAATAAACAGTAGATAAATTAAGACTCATATAAGAATATCGCACACGAAACCAGATACTTTTGTAACTCAAAAGTAACGGAATTGAGAAAACACGGTTTGAAAATTAAACCAGAATACAGAATGAATCTTATTGCGAATAATGGTGTTATTTTTATTTGCTCATAATTAGTTATCCATTTATAAACGAGAATACAAAATTTATTGGCTTATTTCAGTAATTTCTTGAACTTACAAACCGTGTATTCTCAATTCCTTCATTTTTGAGTTACGACTACGACAGTATTTGGATATATGTATAAATACATATATAACTCTGATCATAGTTACTAGTTTGAGACTAAGAAATTGGTGTGATTGTGATAAAAAATACAATAAACCTTCTCAAGTACATATTGAAAAATATTTTTGTCAGTATATACAGGTGTTACAATGTATAACTTGAAGCTTGCCATATATTTGAATAGTAAAAAGTAATGTAAACACAAGTTATATTATTATTACCGTTACATTACTATTCATTTTTGAAGTGGTGTAAGCGCCAACAGGTGTCTACGTTAACTGGTCAACCCTACTGTGCTAGTGAAAAATAAAAAATTACCAATGTTAAATAGTATCGACTTGATTTAATTTGTATTGCTGTAAAACTATGTAAGATGCAGATCTCATTCGTCGATAGACAAGGACAAAAAATTGCAGGATGCGTTATTTCATAATTATAATATTATCGATACAGTAATGTTCGTTTCAAATGAAATAAAAAAAGACCATGAAAAAAGAAATTAGCGAGATTATAGACTGTAATGCATTTATGTAATGATATAATTACTTTTTGTTGTAGCTATGTATGTACATACGTATAATGCAAAACGACAGTGCAGTTTTTTATGAACTTACATTTGTATAGTTTAATTTTTTACTATACAATTTGATAATGTTGCGCATGCCTTTTTGTGTTCAAGTGTGTAAGGTAGTAAAAATTATTTACGTAGGCGGTTTTTTTTTACTGATTATTAAATTATGTATACTGATATGTGTGCTATTGATAAGTGACTCAAAGAATATTACGTAGGAAAATGTAATAAAATATCTTTACAGTTTACTGATTTTCTTTTATTGCATTTTATTTGCAGCACTATCTCCATCATTTACGAAACGTTAGAACATAATAAAATTATTATGTTCTAATATTTCAGTTTATGTCGAGGCTTTGTTATGTTTTAATCTAGATAAATTAATATTCTTCTACTTACTTACGACAAAAAGCGACTTGTTATTAAAACAAAAATTCGTCAGAAAACAATAGAAAGTGCACATTGGTACAAGGTTGATTTTTAACAAAAATCTTCAAATGTTGCTGCAGAAAAACATACCTATAATTATGTACCTATATCGAAACATGTTTCAAATATTTGTATCAAAAATCCTTCTGTAATAAATAATGTCACAAAAGCTTTTTCAGATGCAAACTCCTTTTTTACGACAAAATTTACATGCAATTTGTATACTTTAATTAATTATTACGCGTCTTTTGCATAGTTTAGCAAATTTTACAATTGTTATTGTGAAATTAAACATATGCTCTATAGGTCGATGGAGAAAATGTGAGTTAGTATACTTCTAAAGGTCTTCCTTCCCAGACAAAGCGTTCAGAAGGGAAATATTAAAGACACATATTGAACTTTTCTTCCTCTCCCTTCATAACTATATACTCGCCTACGATCACTCTTCTTTGGGAAAGCAATATTTAGCATCAAGCATGCTGACGATATACAATACAGTATGGATGCATGGCAGAAGCGTGCATGCAAGTGAGGTACAAGCCTTAACTGTGGTATTACAGTGCATAGTTTCACTACTTCAATGCTATCGTAGTGCAGCTCTCGCTTTCGCGCGCATCGTATCTTGAAAGTGCATTATATGAATTCTTCTAACGTGTGCGAGGTTGCAATGTGTCTTTTTATCATTGTCCTGTTTACTGGTGAGTAATTTTGTAAATTCTTTATAAATATAACTCATAAACACCTGGGTACATAGTTCACGTAATACATACATTTGTCAATTCTTAGAATTAACGTCGAAATATGGCTGCTTTTCAGGAGTAGTTGCTCAAAAAAAAGAAATATTCTTTTTTATTTTTTCGATAGCTGTACTCGGAATGTATTGTATTCGGAATGAGCTTTCCACTGCCTTAAAATAATCACGTGACTACGTAGGGTCAGTATACGATTAAATTTTGGCGCTTTTCTTTTCCTCATTAATTTAATGTTACAGAGAAAGCCATAGGTATGGGTATACTAAGAACTCAAAATACTCTATGTATTATTTCAGATTTTCTAACATTAAACGCCGTGAAAATAGAAAAAGTGATACTTCCAGATGTAATCCAAAGCCAAGCTCCAGAAGGCGCCATACTGGATTGCTTGTACACAGTGAACAGTAGTCAGTTTACTCTACAATGGCTGTTTAACAACAGCGATGTCCCTGTGTATGAGTGGAAACCGAACACAGAGCCGGTTGTCGGTGAATTACTTGAAGGAAGGCTTGACTTATCGTACAGGGCTTCAAGTAAAAACCAATTGTTTTACCTTTAAATATTGTCACAGTTATCTGTAGGTATATTATGAACGTAGTATACCTAGTAGGTATTAGTTTCAATTATCTATGTTTTCAATACTACAATATGTGGCCCATACCCTAAATATCAAATGTATGTTTTTTTTATGTACGTGAGGCGCACTATAAGTTTTCGGAATGAATAAGAAAGAAATACTATACATGGTCAGAAATGAATTTATTGTTTTTCAAAATATTCTCCGTTAATGCACTTTTTCATACGAATGAAACAATTTTAAAAACGTTTATGCCACTCCTCCATGACAATCTCTGAAACATATTTTTCATACTCTTCGACAGCCTCTTCAGGTGATGAAAATCGTTGATCGCGTAACTGGTTCTTAATTTTTGGAAATAAACTGTACGCGGGATGACTCATAAGGTCAACGTCGTTCACCTTCGCTTTCATTTGTCTGTCTGACCGTGTGAGAACTGGCATTATCTTTATTATTATTATATATATAGTGGTGCAAGATGATACGATGATATGATGAATTTGTCAATAACTACCCGGCAAACAAATTGTCACACGACCAATCACTATTCACGGTACAACGATTCTCCAAATCAACAGTAGCCACCTGTCCAGTTTTATTAAAAAAAGAAGCAATCACACGTTTAGAGGCCCTTTGCACGCGCACCACTTTGGTTGGTTTCGGCTCATGTCGAAACACCCATACGCTCGATTGCTGCTTTGTTTTGGGATCGTAACTCATAAATCCATGTCTGGCACGGTAAACTAGAAGACGTCGGTTCGAATCCGGCCGGATCGAAGGAGTTTTTCTGAGTGTCCGATCTTTGTAATAATAATTATAGCAAACTAGTGGAATAATTTCACAAAAAATAATTGAATATCAATTCGATAAAAATTTAATATAAATCCATATTTCGTCACATGTTACTATGTCACACACCAAATTTGATGCCTTTTCGTTGAGTCTGGTAAGCATGGCATTGCACCAAATAACGCGATCCGTTTTTTGAACCTCAGTCAAATTGTGTGGGATCCACCGAGAGCACAGCTTTTTTCACACCCAAATATTTGTGTAGTATTGATTGTATTTGACTCATGCCTATGCCTGAATCTCATGGTATGTCAGATGCCTGTGGGACATTCCTAAGTGACGGGTGGGACTTTTTGACTCCTTTTTTCTTGAACTTTAACTTGAATGTTAAAGTTCTATTTTATTTATGCACTTAATTAATAACTTTGATAAATTTTAAGGAAATTAATATGTTAAGTTGTGACGGGTGGGACATGATTTTGTGACGGGTGGGACGAGTTACAATTAAATACACAGAATTAATAAAATTACACTGATTAATATGAGATCCATCCAAGACAAAAATTTTTACGAAAAAAAAAACAATTAAAAAACTGATAAAGTAATACCTAGTTCTTAGGTTTTCGCGATTGTTACACATAGGAAATGAAACTATTTTTCCAGATTTAAACCGTGACCATGGGACCTGTAAAGCGTCCGAAACGTCTGTTTGTTTGAAAAAACAAATATACGCGATTTAAATCCGGAAAAATAGTTTCATTTCCTATGATAAAGTAATCTTATTATTTTTCTTGAAACACTATCTATGACGACATGAAATCAAAGTCATGCATGTAAAATGCGTTAATAAATTTGAAAAATCCTGACGCATTCCATATCAAAATATATCAAATTTTAAAAGTTTTACTGGAATATATAGTTAAAACTAGTTGAGACAGACTTTTCATGAATTTCCTGATACTAAAAATCATCAGGAAATATGTTGTCACTTTTTAATTGTCTTTTTTTGTGTTAAAATATCTTAATTATGAGAAGAATTATAATAAATTTGCTTATAAATGATGGATCTACATATAAACAGTGTATTTTTTTAAATTCTAGGTATTCAAATGTAACTTGTCCCACCTGTCACAAAATGGTGTCCCAATCGTCACAATTTAACACATCAAATGTTAAACTCCGAAATTAAAGCAACTGTTACACCTAGTAAACATCATGAAAACTCGAATCCATGAAAATCCAAACATTTATTCATAGTAAAAACGTTTAGAATCAATTCAAAGCTTAATATTTACATTTCTATTTACGTGCACAATGCCCAACCAAGCCAAAATAATTACCCTTAGCATAATTGTTACTTTTGCTAAAGCAAATGCCAATAGATTGCATAGTTATTGGTTAAAATAAAAATGATTTAGCACACATCCGTCATACTCCAGTTTCGTCAGAAATGTATAAATATGTTTCATTGTGACGGGTGGGACTTGAAATTAGTATTTATTGCAATTTTAATAACTCCTCACCATATATATATTTCCATGCAATCACTTATCACTGTAATACCTTTTACTGTAATAACTTTTTTAGAGAGACGCACAATAACCGCGAAAATTGTTGCTAACATTATAGGAAAAAATGCTTCACTATAGACGACAGCACGATGACTGCGTTAATGAAGACAAAAAATACAATAATTGTATGTACAATATCCGAAAAATTTAATTTATTTCTAATGATTTGATTTGTTGAGCGTATTCTAGTCATACAATTAAAACCAAATTGTGTAATTTATTTTTTTTAACTGCGGTGTCATTTTCGGTGGAATTACCCATTGACTTACAAATATATGGACGACGGGTCTAATACAAAAACCACGAAAAAAATGTCCCAAGTCAACCTATTCGAAATTTAAATTGTTATGTCATCACAGTATCGCGCTGTCCGTAGAACAAATGAAGACTAAAGCGGAGTGTCGCGCTCTGTATACGATTTTAGCGCCTTACAAGTGCGGACAATTTTTAGCGCGGACCCGACGTCCATATAATTGTAAGTCAATGGAATTACCCGTCTGTTTTGATCACACGGCGCACAGTATCGATGTTCTTGTTGTTCACAATATATATAGCAGTGGACGGGCGACCATCACGAAATTCGTCACCGAGATTCACCGCGTTTAAATTCTGCATATCAGCTATAAATAGTCGTCTTGCATAGTGCTTCATAGCCAAAAACAGTTTGAAGCCGAGGGAAGCTCCGCTGAGCTGTTAAATTACACTTAAAGTCGTACAAAATCATAGTACGAAAATTTTCAGGAGTTAAATCCATGGTGATGTAGACATGCAATTTCTAAAATGACGCCACAATGTAAAAATAAGTAACAGTCAGATAAAACATACTGTATTCTACAGCCAGAGTTCCATTTTCAAATGTTGTAATTACTTTTTAAATATTGTTTATGTAAATGGCCAGTTACGGAAACTTATAGTGCGCCCTGTGTATAGTTTTCGCATAATTTTTTGTATTATTTTTGCATTTGTGAACCGATTTTGATGATTCCTTTTTGTTGGAAAGAGGGTACCTCCATAGTGGTTCCATTTAATTTTGAAGAAAATATTCCACCTCTAAGGATGGCTGTTCACACATGAAGATTCATTTTTACAAATAGCGCCTAAACTTTTATATGAGGAGCAATTATTTTAATTGTTGATTTTGCTTTCCTCCATTGGAAGACGTTTTTCTCTTGGATTTTTATTATCTTAGATGTACATCTTCTTTTATTCTTAGATGTACATCTTCTCTTCTTCTATGTACATCTTCTGTACTTCTTCTTACAATTACTTCTACGAACTTTTGAGGTCGGTTTTTTTAGTACTATGTACTGAGATTATCAAAATTAAATTGAAATCGAAGAACTGGTATGCACAGTATACCCACTACGACGACTCCAAAAATTTCGAAAATAGAACCAGGTTCTATTCAATTTACGATAATAATATATGAATATTCACTACCAGACCGCTTAACTTGCTTATTTTTCAGATAGGTCTCCCAAATAAAATTTGTTTGTATTAATGCAATTAATAACCTCGTTAATACGTCGGGTCTCACGCAATCAATACCCTGTATTTTTGCAGCATTCTCCACAGACGAACGCAGAGCTTTGCACATAGTTTCCTTGGAACCCAATCTGAGTGGGGAATACACCTGCAAAGTTGTTAGCGACGGTTTGGAAGCCAGATTAAGCAGGTCCATGCTTGTATTCAGTAAGTCCGGTCTATATTTTATTCACTTAACCTACCTTGCCTATTTTACATATTCCGGATGTCAAAGGTCGTTTTAAAAAGGTCTTTATTGAGCCTTAATGCAGTAGCAAATAATGTATTTGTTTCGGATCATCAATCAATTTGTTTTGGTCTTATAAAGGACAAGAAACGTTGGTTTATTCGATAAAACATATACGTGATACAGATCCGAAAAAAATGTTTCATTTCCTATGTGTAACAATCGTGAAAACCTAAGAACTCGATACTAAACGAAGCATTTTTACTACCACTAGCATCTATTCTTATAATGCGTAAATTTACAGGCCCGGAACGTGACTTCACATTAGTCTTGCAAAAACAAAATCGCAGCACGAGATTACAATGCATTGCAAGAGGAGTCTATCCAAAGCCCGAATTAACTCTGGAACATGATAGGTAAATGGGCATTTCCACCAGGAGTTGTATCTAGAACCGTAACACAATGTTCTAGAGCATTTTATTTAATTTGAAATTCCTTTAATCATTTTCTTATTTTTTATTTAGACTAACGCTGAGTTCGTCAATGGCTAGAACAATGCAAATAATACAACTTCTCACCGCATACTATATAATATAATAACGAGATTGAGGTGACCTTTCCAAGGTGTTGAATACATTTTCACGTAAAATATCTTATTTTAGTGCTCAATATCGAAAGAAAAATTGAACAATATTCGCTGTAAACTTGCCACTATCATCCCACCATCGAATATATACTCGATTGATCCCGCTTAATACGAGTATTTACTTTATTTTAATACAGTGACTCTTTATGTAAAGTGGTTATACAGTGTGTTGATTTGCATCTTCGCAATATTTAAGAAGTTATTAATAGAAATAATGCTAAAGCATCTAAAAATATGAAAAAAATATTCTGTTCAACATTCTGGCTAAAATTCTATTCAAAATTCTGGTATTAGTAAAGTTTTGCAAAATTGTCTCGAAGTTGTATGCACCACGCATTTCCCCCAGTGATACGTAATCTTTCTCGATCGCTTATTTACCTATTTTTTTTAAATTATGATTTATGTACTAGTATTGCTATAATTTACTATTTATTTACAACAATTAGAAGAAATGACTAAAAAAGGGTTTTTGTAACTTCGATTTGGTACTTACTAACTTTAGGTTACATGAAAGTATTGCTAGAAGTACCTAGCTTCTTATTAGACTCCACAATTTTGAAAGCAGAAACTTTGACACTCGTATCCTCTGCGTAAACTAAACGTTTCACTGCGTAAAGAATAGACACGCACTGGCAGTTTTCTGCACTACTAACTCTTGTTTACATACCAAACCACGTGGCATTTCGTGACAGACTAGAATAGAATGTATGTGGGATGTCAGTGTGATGTAGATGCAGTACGGGATGCAAGGTCGACTGATCTACTAATCGCGCGGTCGATACGACATTCCCCCGCCGTCGCTACCCGCACCCAACCACCAAATAGATCTAAAATGCGTTTTTTTCTGCGCATTTAAGGTCATTGTTCAAAATGTTTGCAAGTGACGTGCAAGTCAATGACTTTTGGATCAAATTTTTTACCGCAAGTAAATAAAATTTATTAATTTTTTTTTTCGACTTATTTTTTAGTGATTTGTGTTCAGTTTCGGATATAGAATGACCTCTGTAAAAATATGCCGAGAACAGAAAGAAAGAATCAACACATTGTATATTAAAAAAGATTGGCTAAATAATATTCACTGTAAACTTGTCACTTTTTCGCCAGTGTTCTCGTATTGAATATATGAGAGAGAAAAGAAAAAAATATATACGAGAATTAACTGCCTTGGTGGTCGAACTGTTACCATGCTGGCCTGTCACGAAAAGGTCCCGGGTTCGATTCCCGGGCCGGAAGAAATATTTGTATGGTCTACATTTACTCCTTTCGTGAGTTTGTGGTTGTGTATGTTTGTGTCCATGGTACCTGCGACACAGGGTTTTCCTAGTGCGGGGCTAATAATAGAAGGATTTTTTTTCCAGTAGTAGTAGGTATGTATGGTGGCAATATCTAAAGATACACTAATACTTGTATTCAAATTTGCAGTTAAAAGAAAGTTAGCGGCTAAGGGTCAACGCAGGCCGGGAGACGGGAAGGCAAAGGATATTAAATTTATCAACGTTCATACCTCTTTGCTGTTTCAAATGCAATAAGGTATCAATTTCAATGAAGAGCATTGAAATGTATGCCTTATTGCAGACCGACTTCGGAGTATAATTTTTCTCTGTGGTATTGAAGAGCATGCTAGAGGATACCACGGCAGAAGGCGTTTTAGACGGAATCGACCAATTATGCACCGGAATCTATCTGAATACATGCCGGAGTAACAGGCAAATGACAGGCATAAGATCCTCTTCAATGCTCTTTCCCGCCGTCCGCCTGTTTGCCCTTTCTAAGTGCGCGTAATATATATTATTATCGTAACACAATATTATTTGTACGTCCAGTGTACCATTTGTGAGGCAGCAACAACGAGTATGGCGTTCCGATGGCCCTCTTTTTGATGCCGAAAGTACGGCAACCCTTCATGTCAATGGCGAATATTGCCGTCCGCGACGAATTACATGTCGCTTGCAGCTTCCCCAAGCAGGATACGCCGCTATGAAGAAAGAACTAATTTATGTAGACGGTGAGTAAATATACTAAAAAGGATATACCCATGATGCAATTAAATTCATCATAAGGTCGTTATTTACCTATGTTTGAGAGAAACCTGTTAATTTTCAGCTATTTTTATCAGCAACCTATGACCAATCTAATATTTTTGTATTTGTTTCATAACCATGGATACAAGTCCTTCAGTCGAAATATTAGAGATAATAAACAGAAAATAATATAAAAAGTAATAGCATAGTAGTAGAACAAAATTAATTAAAAATTGTTCTATAATACATTACTATAATGTTGTTAACAACAGTGTAAAATATTTATATTATATTTCAAAATTGTAGTAAAGCAAACTGTACAGCGCCCCTAGTGGTAACAAGAAGTAACATTTTGTATTTTGTAAACAACGGCATCAGTAGGGCTAGCACATAAGTCTGTGGCTAGCACGATAGGGCGCAACTTGCGCGAGATACTGCTATTCTCGCATAGAAATCTCGCGCTTTAAGTCGTACTAGCCCTACTGTCATTGTAAAGTTATAGTAGGTAACCTGGCTAGGTTTTAAATTACCTATAAATACAAACAGTACTTCACTAAAAGGAAGATTTACTGACATTGAGACATTTTCAGGGCAACAAAACTGCAGAAACGGTTCATCAGCAAGTACATCCAGCACAATCTTATTTTTAGCACTTTTAACTATTACATTTTACAGTTCGAAAACAGCATTTTTATAATTACTCGAACAATAATAAACTATAATAAAAAAAACTATACAAAATAATTTTTAATGCAAGTCCTTGTTTTATTTTGCAGTACTGTAAGCACTGACATTCAAGTGCAGTTGTAAAGAATGTTTACCTTGAATAAAATGCGATTTACGGTACAGATCTTAATTTTTTTCTTATAACACTTAGGTACGGTCAAGTTCCGATTGATTACCAAATGATAATTATTAAAACAAACGTTAACATGAAAAATCTGCAGTCGGAAGAGATATAAGGTGCTTACAAATTAGGTATGAATACTTTTAGAACATACCTCGTTAATCACTTTGGAGTTAGATAGTCGAAATGAATGTGTTACTTTTTCGGGTATTTAAAAAAGTTAATTACTAAGCTTGTTAATAACAACACTACTTGGTAACAACAACGTAGTGGTTATATGCTCAGTGGTAACAACCTCTTCAATGTTATCTTTTTAAATCTTTTAACTATCACTGGCCACTTCACTGTTCAAGTAAAAATAATATTAATATGATTGACATTATTAGTGACGTTTGGACATAATTTTCTAATTTTGTTTCTTTAAACCTTAGAGGATGGAAAATTTTAAACGGGAAAGTAACATTTTTAGATCGCATAAAGTCTTTTTTATCTGAATTTTAATTGAGTCTTCTGAGGCAAACTGATTACAAAATTATCCGTACCTAATTTTGTAGCACCTCATACAGACAGCCTTAGAATAATAACGCATAGAAACCTAGCCCGCACACGCTAAGTGAGGCAAATTGTAGGACGCCGTATAGGCCTACGTGAGCGAGCGGGCAGTCAGTGCTCAAGGTCAAGTTGTACCGCGAACAGCTCAAAGATTTTTGCTAAAAATGACGAAATGTGCGGTAATTGGGTTTAAAAATAGATCAGACAAACATAAAATAGACACTAACATCACATTCCACAAGGAAGTAACGTGTTTCAACTTGTATTTTTATGTAAATAAACAAAAAATTAATTTCGTTGCAACAAGATACGAAAATGTTGCAAAGTAACGGGTTTTTTCTCCCCATTTTGCTATTCTGTTTCAAAATAATTATATTCCGTAATTTTTGAGAATAGGCAATATCGCGACGTTTGCAAAATTTCTACAAATGTACACCGCCGCAACAACATTGTCGGGAATTTACGTTAGCTATTTCTACGAAATATATTTAGTATTTGGCTTCATTAGTTTCATGTGAAAAATCATTATTCTTGTTCATCATACACTCATTTTAAAAAATTGTCTTGGCCAGACTCAAACGTTCGTAACTAAAATTATTTCAAGGAACTAACACTGACTAAAAAGTCATCGTCAGTTCTCCAAAATCGTATATAAATAACTTTCAGGTTCAGGTTCTTTATTGTTATCGTGTACTTTTCATGTAAACATACCCACAGATAATATCAGGCTATTTATATATTCAAATTCGATAGTCGCACTTAAACTCGCATGTAGGTTTTTCAAAAATGTATTTTTGGTAAACCATAAGGAAATGGCATGTATATCTGAAGACAAGATAGCGGGCAAGACTTCTAATTCTTCTTCTTCTAATTCTTCGCCATCTTGGATTTAGAAATATGTGCTAAATTCGGAATGAGCAGCCCCAAATACCTTGAAAACGACAACCAACTTGCTATTATTCGAAAAATCGTGCCCGCCATCTTGGATTTAGAAATTAGTGCCATGTTCTTAATGAGCACCCCCAAATACCTCGAAAACGACACCCAACTTGCTATTATTTGAAAAGTCACGTGCGCCATCTTGAATTTAGAAATAAGTGCTATATTCCTAATGAGCACCCCCGAATACCTCGAAAATGATACTCATATTGCATTTATTTCAAAAGTCGTGTCCGCCATCTAGGATTTAGAAATAAATGCCATATTCTTGATGAGCACCTCGAATACCTCGAAAACGATTCCCATTTTGCGTGTCCGCCATCTTGGATTTAGAAATGAGAAAAGTCGTGTCCGCCTTCGTGTATTCAGATATAAATGCCATTTCCATAAGGATTACCAAAAATATTTTTTTGAAAATTTCTGTCACTTGATGTTGTCTATCAACAGTAACGATCGACAAAATCGAGCATATCTGTAGGCACCTGATCGAGATTGTCGATCGACAAAATCGAGCAAATCTGTAGGCTTTAACTTAATGATGAGTTAAGCAAGATACAATTTCCCCACTTTTGAGGGAAATGTTATTCCATGGCAACATTATTTGTATATTTGTGTGCGTGCCGACGAGCGTAAATACAAGTTGCTTACGCCTACATGAATTTGATTTTTGCCTCACTTGTGACAGTTCGTTTGATATGAAACTATCATTGTATGCGTTATTATTCTAAGGTTCCACCATGATTGTACTCGTACTAGTGCAATAGTGTTGGCAACTATGGCCGAAGTACATATGCCAGATGACGTATACGTTTGTCATCATCATAAGGGGTTTAATGAAATTACAACATTAAAAAACGAAAATAGTTAATTTTAAAAGATTTACAAGTAACGCTACGAATAAAATTAGTATCACATTTATTATGCAAGGAGCTGCACTATCGTCGTTGCAAGCAGGAATAGTGTCCAAGAGCTGGTGAAGGCACTGCTGCCATCTGAAATATAGATAACAAAAATTGTTTTATAAAATGCTTTCCTTCTCTTTTGTTTTATGAAGTTGGACAGGGGAGGTTGGTGGGAGGGATTGAACGGTTCAACGCAGACGTCAAACAACTATTTGAGATACTTTCGTAATAAATGAATTATAATTCTCAGTGATATGAAGTTCCAGTAGCACGGCCAAATTATATCATCTGCGTTGTTTCTGTGGTCAAATACGGTTTTTATTTAGTCAATTAATTCCGTTAAAACGGCGATAATTTACTCATCCATGTGAACAATCCAAAGTCTATACCTTAGTTTCCCAAAGTGGTCTCCAGTGGGCGCTGAGGAGTCCTAGACTGGTAGGGGCCTCAAAAGCCATTGGAGGCATTGAGGCTGTCCAGAGGGTACTATCGCATTTGAAATCAAACCTGATTTTTTTACCTTGTGATTTTTTTGTGTTCAGTAATATAAAAAAATACGTGTTTTCAATTATTTTTTGTGGTGGTGGGCGTTAAATTTTTTTAATCTTGTCTAAGTGGGCGGTGAGCCAAAAAGTTTGGGAAGCTATGGTCTATACTATCGAGCTCATATTAAAACAACATCTTGTTCATCGTTGGTCAAGTATGTATGGCAATTAGAAGAGCTTCAGAACAAAAACTGATAAATCCAAAGACTTACGCCAGTACACAGATATCGTTGGATAAATACAATAAATTTCGATCCTAATTTTGTCTAGTCCCATTGAATGTATTTGCCGCAATGTGTTCAGATCTGTGCATTTGAAATGTTTGTTAAGGTGGATTTAGCAGTTGCTTTATTCACATGTAAATGTTCAATTATTAGTTCACATTGACGAGTAAGTTGATTTCGTTAACGAAACTAATCGATACCCGTTATAGATAATTCTTTGAATAAAATTTTATTAAATAAACCAAATGTTTACAAAAACGTTTCAAAATGTTAAGAAACTTGTTTGTAAAGTTGTCAATACTTATAAGAAGCGTTTTTAACAATTAAAAAAAATTCATATTCAGTAAAATTGCCCGATTTGTTAATACAGACTAAATTAATTATGCCAATACTTTAGTCGCTGTTAAAATAAAAAAATATCAACACGTCATCTAGGTTAGTAAGTGCTTAAAAGGTGTACTCGTAAAATGTAAGTGGCATCATCCCTTTCCTAAGCGTCGTAATTGGCGTTCGGCAAATTCAAACAAAAAAATTCGGTTTAACACTTCACTTCGGTCTAAGTGTCGTATTCTAGAACTCTACTCAATGCTCAAGTCAGGACTGCAATGGAAACACAAGCACTGGAAATACGACCCTAATTGCAGGTACTTGAGTATGATTTCGAGTGCTTTAAACCATACTCAAATCCTGACTTGAGCATTGAGTAGAGTTCTAGAATACGACCCTAAGACAAGTAGTGTAACTCCATGCAAAAAACTTAGCGAATGGTTTGTATGTGTGCATAATCTCGCGGTGCCCTCGAGTTACACAGCGCGGAACTAATGAAAGGAGGAACTACTAGGTATAGTTTTTTTAGGAGATATAATTTTTTTGTGAACGGATTTTGATGATGATTCTTTTTTTTGTTGGAAAGAAGGTACCTCAGTTGGCTCATTGATCCCATTGAAATTCGAAGAAAATATTCCACCTTTAAGGGTAGCAAACTAGGGGATGAATCCGGTTTCGCATACTTTCCGGTAACCGATTTCAATGAAACATGGCTTATAGATGTGATTCCACGAACTTTTTCTATGTCAAATTTATAATATTTTGACCAATAAATATACACAAATAGTTATGTATTTACAAACTCGCATTTAATTTCTATTTCGTGATTATACTCTCATAATCGAGATAGCAATCCGCGATACTTCCATATGGAACCATTTAACAAAGGTTATTTCGCTATATTTTTATTTTTCGTTATATAGCATGAGAATACTGTATGACTGTAATAACTTTTTTTTTTTCAAATTATATTTACAACCTGTAGGTAGGTACAAATAAAATAATGATGTGACAACCCTACGCTCCGAGAGTTGTGTAAACCGAACACGCCGAACAGGAGTTACACTACTTGTTTTATTATATGTATCTTGTATCAAAATAGATTTATCAATGATTCTTTATTTCTATTTGGTAAAGAGACATAGATATTTTGCCTTTGAAAGCTGAGCAAGAGCATACATCGAACTTAAATATGACAAAATCGTCAATTACGACAGTTAGTGAGAGGGTCTATATGTGACAATAAAACAATACTGGTTATATAAAGTCTGTGCACATACTTATAACAAATGTTAAGAAGGCTGATGTATATCTACGTATTACATACTTAAATTAACCTTATCAGCTTGTAAAACCAGCTTTACTTATAGATAAACAAACAGACAAACACGTTAAAATTGTGATTAGTAGCTTTTTTCTGGACTGTAGTCAAGTACGATGTGAAAAAGGTGTATTAATACTTTACGATAATGAAGTAGTAATTACACTACACAATTTCACCCCATAATAAATTTTGTTCAAACATTAACTTCCCTTAAAAATAAGCTATCCAACTAGATGAAAGTAAAAGTTGTCATTTTGACTGAGTGTTTCAACAGTGCCGGCGCGGCGCTAGCCCATGTAGCTCTCGGCTGCATTCAATACTCTGGCGCCCTCTAGTAGGCACGCATCAAAATGGAACATTTACAAGAATATTTTCTCCAGTCATCGGAAACACATGTGCAAATGGTGCAATAATAAATGTTGGCAAGCAATAGACCGTTTGCTTCGTTTGCACCGCGAGCGACATAGGTTCTTTGTAGGCGTTCCATAAGCCCCTGCGCCTATGTGCGCCGCACACCCTGGACTACAGGGTAAAGTCGGCACTGTCTTTCAGTGTCACTTTATTATCCTCAGGCTTAGAATAATAACGCATAGAATGATAGGTTCATATCAAACGAACTGTCACAAGTGAGGCAAAAATCAAATTCATGTAGGCTAGTTTTAGTAGTAGGTTAATTTTCGGTTTTAGTGAATACTTATATAAAAATACAAGTTGAAACGCGTTACTTCCTTGTGGAATGTGATGTTAGTATCTATTTTGTTTGTCGGACGTATTTTTACACTCATTTACCGCACATTTCGTCATTTTTAGCTAAAATTCTTGATCTGTTCGCGGTGCAAGTTGACCTTGAGCACTGAAGGCCCGCCCGCCCTTATGGCGCGCTTCAATTTGCCTCACTTAGCGTGTGCGGAATAGGTTTATATGCGTTATTATTCTAAGTCCTCAGTTATTATTGCACCTTCTGTAACACTCTAAATAACGTCGCGATAAAATGCCGAACGTCCAATCATGTATATGTATAAAAAGGCATAATTAAGTGTATATTTAGGTGCCTTTTTCTACCTACTCCAGATATTTTTTTAAAAATTTAAAAAGGCTTAAGTTTAGCTGATTGTAATTTCAATAACAAAAAACTGCGATATTTTGTTTTGGATATAACTGTTTGAAGTGTTCTCGTTATAGGAAGTAATTCTTACCGGTATCGGGCTCGGCAGTGGAAAGTTCTGTAGTGGACAGCTCGCCTTCCGTTGTGGTCGTCACAGCCCCTGGCGCCCGACAACCGCACGTTAGCCCACGTTCGATAGCACACATTGTTAGTTCAACATTCACACAACATTCTCTACTAAGTGGTCAATCAGGCAACCAGATCGGAGATGAGCGACAATAGTTTTTAGGAGCCTTTTGGAAGTCGAACCGTGCATACCCGTGCCCGAATGGTTTGGTCATGACAAAACATACTTTCGTGCTTCGCAATGGAATGTATATGGATTGATCCTGATTATTATAAAGTACTTTGTGCAATAAATTTTGAGTAGACGAACAAGACGTGCGCCTGGTGGTAAGCGACACGCCTATCTATAACAGTTGCAGTCCCGCTCAGAGCTTTAAATCGCAAGGATCTGAAGGGCACTGCCACTGCGCTCGTAATGCTCACATTACTACTTGGCGGCAGAAATAGGTAAGGTGGCAATACATACCTGGACGAACTCTTTCACTAGGAGCTCTACTATTACATGTTCTGAACTCTATAAACTATTGTTACAATAATATATTCTATACTGTATAACAAACTAAATATACATAGATTAAGTATAATGAGAAGCACTATAGACCATATAAGTAAAACACAAGTTGGTATCAATCCATATTTTGCAAGGTTTGTATGTTGTTCGTTCTGAAAAATATGTCATTCTAACATTAACCGGTATGTACTACACACCTCTTGTAAAAATGTAGTCATAAAAAAACTACATAGTTTTAGGGGTTCGTTTTTTAAATTAGTTTGGGAAACGAACTTTTCTAAATTTACAACCTAAAGATAAGCACTAAGATACGCTTTGCCACAAAAACTGGGATTTACAAGATTTTTGTCAAAAATTCCTGACCAAAAAATCCCGCCCTGTATCGTATCTGCTTAAAAGTTCCCAAGGACACCCGCTGAACCAACCGAACCCAGAGGGGTGATAGCAGCCCCTGTCTCTGAGTCGGCGACCCAACTCTTTAAATAAGTTCCGAGCTTCCGAAATCCAGGGCCCCGCAATTGGTTTTACTTTTCTAAATTGGTTCTGGTCTGAGCGTCCCGGGTAGAGGCCCGGAGTTATTTTCGTAGATCTGATACTCATAGCACAAAGCATTCCCTAACTTAAGGCGACGTAATAGGTATGATTGTCCGTAGCACATTATTATATAATGATGTATAGGCTTAAAGACGCTAAATGATGGTAACATATACCGATACACAGTTATAAACCGACGACTGAGCTCTGGTTTTGACTTCACGTAAAATTTAAGGCCATTGCCAAGAAAAGGACGTAAACTGAGCAATAAATGTTTAACAGTTCTATAACAATTTTAGCTCAACCCGTTAAACCGATCTGTTTGAAGTGAACACCGCGACGTATTTACTAAAATTATTATACTATGATGTGCTAAAATTAGACCAACCTTCACTTCATTAAAAAGTACTATCGGCAAAAGAAATAGGTATACTTATCATTGGCGTGTGTTTATCTGGCGTGTATTTTTTATCTACCTTAAGGCTGAAGAGGCGTTAAAAGGATCGTGTACGAGAATACTTATTTCTTTTGCCATGTAAATTATGCATTTACATAGGGGTGAGCCACAGATAGAATTATACAAACTGTCAAAATTCTTTGTTCAAAATTTCGCGGCATGCCCACAGCGATCAAAGCTTTTAAAAAAATAATGACAAATTGTATAGCTTGATGTGTGGCTGAGTGTTTGTAATGTTATAGACATTAACCTAATAATAAAAATAAAACATGCTATAATGATACAAATGTGCGTCCATCTGCATATTACGTCACACTAATCAACCCATGCCTCATGCCACGATGCCAGTAGGCATATTGTCTATTTATTTTATTCAATTTATAAATCATGTAACAAGCGTACTGTAATTCACAATATAATGATAGTAAAATGGATATTTAGTTTAGAAATAGAGACCAAAAATTTCAATAAGATATCTATGAGCATAACTGCACAAGTACCCTTGTCCTCCAGTCATAAGTCATAGTGTATGACTGAATGGAATCTAGAGACATGGAAATAGAAAAAGCAGACAAAAGGAAAATACAAGTACTAAATCTAAGGGTGCATCACATTAGTTGCGTTTCAACTGCATTTGCAAAATAGCAGTTGGAATGCAGTTTGATGCAATCGGCACGATGCGAGTGCACGCCACCAGCAACACAACTGCCGATTGCTAGTAGGTACAGCTGGCGTACAGTCGCGACTGCAAACTGCTTGCCGACGGCATTCCAACTGCGATATTACTCGTGTGACGCACTTAGCAATGGAAAATGTAGACCAGTTTTATAAAAATATTAATTAGTTTAAAATCTACTTATCACGTGTAAATAAATTTAAAAAAATTCAATGTCACACTCCGAACTCTCTTTTCTTCTTACTTTATTGGCTGTACTTTTTTAAATTTGTCTTTTCTTATATGATGTGGCGAAAAATAGTTAACCGACGTAAAGTGACTTGTACAGTGATTTTTTAAAAATCTGGAAATCTCGCTATGGATTTTAAATTTCACAACACAATTCGTGCCATTTGATTTATTCCTTTAACATTCTAGAATTTAGAAATATTTATAGATTTCGTTCGTATCCAAACGAACGATTTAATTAGTAGCACAAACGACAATCTTTAAACTCTATTTATAATCTTCGCCTGTAGCTGCAACGTGGGCATTGTAAAATATTTAGTTTAACACACTATATTTTATCGAGTTCTTAGGTTTTCACGATTGTTACACATAGGAAATGAAACTATTTTTCCGGATTTAAATCGCGTATATTTGTTTTTTCAAACAAACCAACGTTTCGGGCCCTTTACAGGTCCCATGGTCACGGTTGACAGTCAACACAAGTCACGGTCAACTATGACCGTGGAACCTGTAAAGGGCCCGAAACGTCGATTTGTTTGAAAAAATAAATATACGCGATTTAAATCCGGAAAAATAGTTTCATTTCCTACACTTTATTTTTCTTGTACTCTAGACACGTTACGTAAGTATAGGTTGAGAAGTTTCTGTGGACCATGAAACAGTAGATAACATTTTGAGTTTTGAGATGAATATTTATAGAAGAATTAGTTCTTTAAATGTTCACGTGCACGCGACGTAAACAGACAACCTGACCGGACATT